CGAGAGGCTTAAAATCCCGGGAACACGCGACTGCAGCAAGGACCGAAGCAAGCCGCAAAAAACCTCTCTCTTTTCTGCGGAAAAGTTCGTTCTTTTTCCTCTTTTGTTTTTCTCCCCCTTTGCTCCATCTTCAAGTATTGAAGCACAATATACGAAAGATTCTTGGACAAAATGACCCCACTCCCCTTTTACACACACACACATCCACCACCCCTCCGCACCCTCACACATACACACACCCTCACATACGCGCAATACTGTTGGTTCAAACACTCTCGTCATTGCGAAAAACATCGAAAGCAGCGCGGTGCACTACCCCGACAAGAAATACATTTTTTAAAACTTACATGTAAAAAACTTGGCGAGCGTCCTGGTTTTTTGTAACATATTTTTCGACAGTATAGAAGTTTTTTAAAAAGTAATATAATTAGTTTTAGCCGGTCCTCGAATCTCGTCAGCGGCATGTCTCGCCGTAAAGGTGGATCTGACTTTGAAAACCTAAAGTGACTGTTTTTCGTAGGTTTTTTTCTCAACGTTATAATGCCATTTACAAACTAGAACAAAAGCTACAGTATCAAACCACAATCATTTTTTTTTTTTTTTTTTTTTTTTTTTTTTTTTTTTTTTGCAAAGGTCAATCAGCACAAAATCGCCAACATACTACCTTGTTCTCTGGGTTAAGAAAAATTGTGGACTCGATGAAAACTACGAAAACTGGACAGTCTGGCTTTCAGACCCTCATGTGCGGCAAAACATTTTACTGAACAGATTCGATAACTGAATAAAACCGATTATTACCGTCCAAAATCTTCCAGTGCCAGCTAAGCTTAAATGTGTTTTTCATGTAACTATGCCACGCACTGCTTTAATTTCCTTGCCTTGTGTAGCGCGCTCATTCTGACCAGTTCGCCTTCAATACTATGAGGTAGGCAATGTGTGCGACTTTGGAGCAGGAATAGTTGCTTGCAGTAATATGGTAACGTTTATTCGCATCGAACATTAAATTCGGGGGCTAATATCTACTTACAGTGCATCGCGTTTCGCTCTCAATCTGACCAGTTCGCCTTCAATACTAAGGTAGGCAATCTGACCGGCTTTGGAGCAAGAATAGTTGCTCCTTTCATTCACATTAGACGTTGTTTCAAATGACTACTATCTACTACGCACTAGTGCATTATTTTACGCTCATTCTAACCAGTTTGCTTGGTACAACGGAAGCTTTTCAGATGATTGAAATCCGTCGGTTTATTCATGAGTTTACCCAAGCGCAGAGTCCACTATCATCCTGATCTGGAGGAATATATTTTGGAATCTCTTTACGGGATATTTCCGGGAACATCTCAAAGACGGCGAATTTAGAGATCACTCGATTTCGAGGGAATTGACTTACGCACGATGAGCCGGGAAATAAAATCGGGCAAGATAAAGAAACAGGAACAGAGGGTGGGCAGACTGGCATATTACATCTCCTTGGCGGAGGGGGTTGACACATTCTTGACAGATTTCGGCATTAATTGCCGGTAAAATGGCTTGGTTGTGAGCCAACCGCTGGATCAGTTCCTATAGCTTTGTACTTAGCAAGGCTAAAAAATATGCTATTCTGATAATCTATCAGATTATCAGGTATCAATTCCTCAGAAGTGTACGATTTTAATAGTCTCGCATGCGGCACTTACACGCAAGAGAAAAAAACAAACCCGATCTGGGAATTTGACTGCGGGTTGATTATTGAAATTGATAGACAAAGCAATATACAAAGAAGACATAAGGTGTATGCAGCTATCCTATCGGTTGAAATGGGTGGCTCCTATAGATTAAGAGAGAAAATTATGGACTAACTATCGGGTCCCTCGTGGGTTGCCGTTACTTAGTCTGTTACCTACCTTCCTTGGCCATTGCAGCCACCCGCTTCCACCAACAGGGTCCCTCCATATCTCTCTTTTATCTTCTTTGTCTATAGCTTTGTCTATCAATTTCAATAATCGGCCCGCTGGTCCTTATATGTCCAGAACATTAATTGATAATTTTTTGGCACAGACGTTACAATACGGATAGAAACTCCATGATTATTGAAGGGTGTCATTTACAGTAAAATCACCAATTATGATATAAACCTTAAAAGTACGTCGCACTTTACATGAAACACTGTTACTAGCCTAAATCCTTTTTTGGTCTTGCTCAGCACTCTGAAATTTCACTATATTGTTTCGCTTGATTCATACTCAAACCATAAATGATCTGCTGCAGGTTGATTATTGAAAAGTATAGACAAAGCGGTATAGACAAAGACGAAGTATAGACAAAGACAAAGTATAGACAAATAGAAAATGAAGAGGTCGTGGTTTAAACGGGTCATTCGGTCAACGGTCAACGGTCAACGGATCATTAGACTCAGAAAGAAAATGATGGACTATAAGTATATGGTCTCTCCCGGATTGCTGTTTGTAACGTTATAGTCTATTATTTACGCCCTTTCTCCATTCCATCCACCTTTTATATAGGATTGCTTCAGTGTAATTGTCTTCGTCTATCGCTTTATCTATCAATTTCAGTAATCAGCCTGCAGATTCTTGATACAAAGCTTAATTTTTGCTCAGTGGTACAACGTCGGTAAAGGAGGAGTGCAGCAGAATCAATTTTAAAAGTAAAACAGAATCTGGTAGATGTAACAATTTATCGCTTACTAGGTTATTAAATAAGTATAAGGACAGCGTAACAATGTTACAAATCGGGGAAATATAAGGGCGGGTGGGGAGAGGGATGGCCAGAAGGGATGAGTGAAAAGTTAACTCCCCTCACGACCACTCCGCAACCGCAAATTTTATTATTGCTATGAATTTAACGTGATTTTGAAAACTAGGAGCGGGCGCAGTTGCTTGGATGCCAAGTTTCATGGAATAAATAGGAAATGAAAGCGAAGCCGTATATTCGTGTTTTTTCTTGGCTAAGTCTCAAAACGATTCACCTATACAAAGTAATTCTCCTAATCCTCAGACTTTGTCCAAAACGTTTCACTAAGAATCTTTACGGAAAATTGTGCATTAAACCCAAGAGGCAAAGTGCAATGCAATTATTGAATCAAAATTGCGATTAATTGCAAAAAAAATTGAAATGTTCTCACAAATTGCAATAAGTGCGCTTCGTTTGGTAAATAAATGCTGATATGAGCAATCGACGAAGTAAGCTCTATGTGTCAGAAAGTTAGGGAATATGCAGTGCAATGAAAAATTGTGACATATGTCAGTTTTATTGCAATAAACGTCAATATGCCGTGTACCTTCAGTCAGTAACGAAGCAACATACACAACACTTCGCTTGAGTATCAATAAGATTACAGAGTAATCGCAATTTATTGTAATCTTTGCTACTGAGGAATGAAACTCACAAAAAAAAAAAAAAAAAAAAAAAATTCGCCCAATTCGCGCCTTTTCAGAATATGTTTCACTCGATTGATAAAAAAACCGTTATATATTTCTTTATATTTATTATTTCATTATTTATTCATTTTTATTTCTTGTTCATCTGTATATTGCTTTCTTTCCTCCATTTTCTGTATTCTTTTGCGGTGCGGTTAATATGACAACAGTGGTTTTATTTTCAACGTTAGAGAAGGGATGAGTTCGTAGCGTGCCACCTAACAATATTTTCAAGTCTTCATAATACAATTTCTACAAATACAATTGCGCGTCTTCGTTTGTGGTTTCCACCTTCTTCCTGTTCTTCGTTTCATAAGTGAAGCATCCCGCCGGAGCTCATTGACCAAAAGTCATCATCTATCAAGGAAGAACGCCGTATGAGCTTTCAGGCGTTGCCACATTTCTTTCAACCAAAGTCTAATTTACCGGGCAAATTTTGAGAATTTTTCCTCAGATTTTTTGGACAATTTCATTCGCAATCTCATCTAAAATGTCTGAAAAGTTCAAGGAAAAATACCTATGCATGACTATCCCTAAAAATATGTGTTTTATCCGGGGAAATTTGGCAACTCGGGAATGTTTATACGGTATTCTTACTTAGCACATTAATACGTATCCTCGCCCATGCATGAGAAAGTCATATCCGCAGCACAGAAAAACAGAGCGCAGATTCAGACGAACAGTTTAGGAGAACAATCCTTCTTCCAAAGTCAAAGATTGAAGGGAAAATTTTTTAAAAAGATTATCACCTCCATGTAGTTGTGGCCGAGATTGTGGAGACATTCTTCCAAAATACATGAAATTATTTAAATATTTATTTGGGCGTAGATGCTTTCAGATAGAAATCAGTTCCTTACATTCAATCAAATTTATTGTTGGGGGGCTCAATATTTAGTCAAATATTTAATTGACAATTTTTTAAAAAGATTAATCACCTCCATTTAGTTGTGGCTAGGATTGTGGAAACTTTCTGATAAAGGACATAAAATTATAGAAATATCAACCTGAGCTTAGGTGCTTTCAGAAAGAAATCAGATGAATTCCCTCACATTTTAATCGAATAAATTATGACTGGGGCTTCGTAATAGAAGAACGTGAGATAGTAAAAAGATTGCCCGGATCCTATGTTGGATTTGACACATAATATGACATTTGAGGGGCTTGCAGGACAAGGCGTGTATGTGCAGTTTTTGCTAGTTCGCGAAATACGTGTTTTTGTTTCGAAATTCCATGGATCCTCATGGCGGAAAGAAAGTTCAAACTGACTATTTGATGCTAAAAAATTGGGATTTTGGAGCGAATGTTTCATAGAATATGCATTAAGACTAGTTTTGCTTGAAATCATTAATATCTCATTTTTTTGTATCAAAAATCTGTACTTAGGCGCCTTGTCGTCCAAGCCACTCATTTATGCTACTAATGAAGTTTTTGGAGAAGAAATATCATTTTATCGAAGAAGCATTTTGTATTTTTACCGAAAAGACCATCGATTTCTGAGGGTTCTTTCAGATTATAAATCTACAGAAATCGATGGTTTATAAAGTCGATATACTTAGGACGAATTATTATTAAAAAAACAAGGACTTTTCTTTCATAAAAGTTAATTTATTAACATGAATTGAAAAAATATATCGACAAGGAAGTTTAATCAAATAAAAATAATAACAAAAACTAGATCAAGGCTACTTAGTATCCACGAATTTTCTCACAATGTATTCATAGGATGTTCGACTTCACATACTTCTGAGGATACGGTACTTAGTGTCTTTGTATTATGCTTGTAATTGCGCAAAAAGAGAACCTGCATCAGTAGTAAGAAGAAAGATGAGAAAAAAAACACGATGTAAAAAAATTAAAAGTATCAAAATTATAGGAATATAATACAACAACTAGGCTAAAACAAGGCCCACAAATTACCAATACCTATACTTGGCTATGGTCTCTAAAAGAATTCGTCTAATATAGCATTACTTAGATAATTTTTGGCCATCCTTAAAAACAAACCGAGTTTTCACTTGTAGTAATTGCAAGAATATTTTTCGCTCTCTCAAGAAATTTAACTTGTAAAATACATGAATTTGTTTTTAGCATCAGTTTTATAATTGTGGCACTCGTTTACAAATATAAAATTTTTGTTGACTGAAAAAGGTCTGAAGGAGACGGAAGGGATGTCTTACTTACGCGGTTAGTATCACTTACATATTAAATTGGAACACATATAAAAACATAATAAAACAAAAATATTACGAATATTACAAAATAAAAAAAAAGATGACCGGACGTAACTTTGAAAATGAGGGGTTGAATGGGAAAGGATCTGGTCACCTTATACGCTATCCTAAGAATCGCATGATACTCCTTACAATGCTTCCTAGTTCACGAATGAAATGACCAAGTTTTCGAACAATAAGAAAATAAAAAAAATCCATCTACTAGTTGAGGGTCTCACACCTCGACCTAAGAATAATTATTTTCGGCGTGTTCGAAAAAAAAGACGTTGACGAATGTACATAATTGGGGCGAGTTAAGGAATACGATTAATGTTTTACAGCAATGTTTGCACATGCAATTTAATCTATCAGGCGTAATTACAAGTTCGTGTGATAACTTTATCCGGACCCTTGAAAGGCACCCCTAAAAAAACTCTAAAAAACCCCTTACAAAACTTTAAAAAAACTTGCGATCAAAATAAGCAGTGTTTTACTAAAAAATTGAGAGGGAAACTTTTTCTGAAAAAACATTTTCTGGTTCTTTTCGTCGACGATTAGTATGAATATTGATGCGGTTTTGCCCCGACGATAAGCATCGGTGATGCTTGTCATCAGTGATGATCAGCGTGATGATTGTAGACGAATATCCATATTTATGCTAGAAGTAACTACATACAAACGAATTGAACAAAAAGGACGTATAAAACATTTAAATCCTATGCACATACGTTCCCTTTTCACTAAACTCATTCGCGCACGGTCTCCTTCATCATAAATACATCGAAATTAGGCAAAAACTACCCTCTACTTATTAACTACAACCCAAGACTTATCATCCTTGGCCTTCTTATCCTTGGGTTTAGGCTTCGATTTAGCAGCATTCTCCGCTACTTGGGTAACGAGGTCAAGGAGGCCAAGGAGGACTCCACCAGCTCCACTAGGTCCACCAGATCCACCAGCTGCACCACCTCCTCGTCCTCCACCCCGCGGGGGTCCGCCCCCTCCGCCTCCTCGTCCACCCTGATTACCCCCTCGTCCTCCCTGTTTACCTCCTCGTCCACCCTGCTTACCTCCCTGTCCTCCCTGACTACCACCTGGTCCTCCCTGATTACCCCCTTGTCCTGCCTGTCCTCCCCCTCGTTTCTGGGTGCCCTTCCCGTCGCCCTTATTCTGCGCGACGACATTGATGGTTACGTTGGGCTGTGGTTGTGGTTGTGGAGTCGACTGTTCCTTCTTCGCTTGTCCCTGGTGATGATTACCTCGGCCCCTAGAGGCGCCACGGTCGCTGTGACCACCGCGATCACCCTGAGCTCCACCGCGGCCGCCTCCGCGCTGACCTCCGCGACCGCGCCAACCTCCCCTCCCGCCGCCGGCGACCCCGACGGCCTGCTCCCGCGAGTTGGCCATCTCCACCGCCTCCTGGAACGTCAGGTCGCTCTTCTGGAAGCACTCGGCGCGGATCTCGTCGGACTTGACTCCGTTCACGAACTGGTCCTTCAGGGACTCCTCCAGGTTGTCGAAGTTGCAGTTGAGGGAGAGGTTCTTGAGCCGCGCGACGAACTTGTTGACGGGCTCGTTGGGGTACTGCCGCGCCTTGCTGAACTTGAACCGTTCCGCCTGTTGGGAGGGTTTGGGGTTGAGGTGGCTCGAGACGAGTTGCACGAGCTCCTCGAACGATAGGTCCTTCGGCTTCCGGGGGAGGGCCAGGTTCTTTATCATCTTGAAGGAGTCCTCGTTGACCCTGCGAAACAGAAAAAAAAACCGGGATTAGATAACCAGTAGGTTAATTCACCAACCAATTGCGGTGAACGCACGGGTCGAAAGACGAGATGTTGGAGTTTTTTAGCCAACGTGCGTAAAAAATTCAGCTTAAAGCTGAAATCTCATTAGAGGGGGAAAAAGCTCACACACAAGCACAATTCTCCCTCAAACACTTACTATTAAAATTAAATCAACCCAAAAACACAAACGCCAACCAGAAAGGAAAGCCAAACCTAATAGAAAACACAAAATGTGAAGAGCAAGAAAAAACGTAAGGAACCAAACCTAAAATGTTGATAAACAATGTAAATAAAAATAAAGAGATAAATATGAAAACTCTAACTTTTATTTTGTTATAAAACAATTATCAAGTAGGTTAATTGGACCGCGTTAAACAGAAAGGAACCAAGCCACATCAGCTACTGCCAATTTCACAGGGAAATTTCATTTTTTACGAGAGAACGTGTGTGCGGATTCCTTTGAACATTTTAGGGAATTTGCTTTGTATTAAGGACAAAATTCACTGAAATTTGCGCAAAAATCCGCACAAACGTTTTCATGTAAAAAATTAAATTGCCCGATTAAAAACGTGATCAAATTGAAGCGTATTTGACAAATTTTGCCTTTTTCGGGAATTTAGGTACTTAGAGCATTCTGGAGTCGAGTTTTAAAGGGACTCTCCCCGACCATGGCACAGTTTAAAGGGGGGGGGGAGATATGATGGACAGAGAAATGCTGGTGTAGCTTTCAGGCACATACTTGCAGTTTTCCGAAACTTCAATTTTGGATTTTTCCTGAGTCAAGTCCGGTTCTGACAACGCTGAAATGTTTCGATTTTGACTTGATTTCTTTTTTAATATTCTTCCTTAGAATTTCACCCAGAGGTAGTCACAGGACTCCAGGGGGACAAAAGGTCCTCCAGCCTCGACCTCTAATGGAGATGTTGCATGTGTGAGGAATTTGCAATTTGACTAATGATTCTTAGGTAAAAGTTTGCGAGAAACGCGATGGTGCCACTAGTTTTCTCTGAAATCAACTCCCAAGCTCAAAAAAAGCGCTCAAGTTGAGGCCAAAATGGAGGGGATATTCCACGCTATTCTGAGAGTCCACCTCTACATCAAGAGAAACTCTCCATGCAAAGATAGGGAGCAAATACATTGACAGGGCTGCCACTTTATTTGGGGACTCTAAAACTGAAAACACGGCATCACTGGTAATGTATTTGCTCCCTATCTTTGCATGGAGAGTTTGTCTTGATGTAGAGGTGGACTCTCAGAATAGCGTGGGATATCCCCTCCATATTGACCTCAACTTGAGAGCTATTTTTGAGCTTGGAAGATGATTTCAGAGAAAACCAGTGGCACCATCATGTTTCTCGCGAACTTTTACTTAAGAATCAAATCAAAAGTCAAATCGCAAATTCCTCACACATGCAACCTCTCCATTTTCAAGCCCCGCCTTCCGTCAGGTACTTGTTCGGCAGCGTTGAGCTCCGTCTTCTTAAAAATTACGTCAGGGTTGGTGCAGTTCCTAGAACTCCAGAATAAATTTACAAGTCGGCCGAGCTGTTTTAGACTTGAATTTTTTTAAAATGGGCGCTTTGATGGAGAAAGAGGTAATTTTCGGATTCAGCCAGCAAAAGAACATAGGAAATCATGTAATGCATGCCTATTAAAGATTCCTTTCTGTTCCAAAAATCGAGGTTTTTCCGGACGAGTGCTCCTTCCCGCCCGTACAACACAAAACTCAACTTGTTCTGCGTCCGAAAAGAGGGGACAATTTTTTTTCTCGGGTAACAAGTGGAACTATTCACTCTCAAAGCCGAAAATGACCTTCGTCTTCTTCCAAAATCTACCTTCTTGTTAAATCGATTCTTTCAGGCTCGGACTGGCCATGAGGCCAATCTGCCATTGGCAGATACGCCCCCTTGGCGCACCGAAAACGCGCCTCTCGGACACATAGCAAAATAAGAAGAGAAAAAAAATTACGATCGAGAATATATGCGAAAAATTTCTAAAATGAACGAAAAAAGAGAGAGTAAGGAGTAAAGAGAGGTGCTTTAACGTATGCTAGTGGTGAACAGAGGTCCAAGAACTACTTTCTGAAGCGAAAACACTATTTTCTGTGAAATGTTCACCTTTTTGTTGACATACAGGCGCTTTATTATTATATGCCCCTCCTTCATTCTATATGCGGTACTCCCTTAGAAGTGTTGGTCGGTTCGATTTTTAGACATACGCATCATTTATAGACCTTCCTTTAAACATATTTCTCCCTTTTCAAAATGACTATTGATTAGGACATACCATAGCACAACTCGGGCAAACTTGCCCTTAATTTATCTCGAAATTCAAAAGTAAGAGACATCTAAAGTGTAAACGCGATAAAGCTATTCACGCAAGATGGATGCCTACATTTCATATGAAAAATGTAAGACGCGATGGCGTGAGTCGTGAACTCGCAATGCTCTGCTCTATACTACTAGTTTGAAGCACCGTTACGAAAAAAACAAACGCAAACAAACACAATATGGAAATAAAGCGAGGGAAATGATGATCGCAAACAACGGCGCAGAGATACAACTATTCGTACTTGATGGACGTCCGTGCTGCATCTGAAAAATTGAAGGCGCGATGACGCGAAGCGTGAGCTCTCAATGCTCGGTTACATGCTGTCAATTAGGTGTCGCTCAGATTCGGAAGAAAAGTTAAAAAAGAGGCCCGAGTGCGTCTTTCCCATCTTTGGCTGTGTTGATACTCGTTCTCTCTTTTTTTTTCAGGTTCTTGTCTGATTCTTTTTTATGAAGGATTTGCAGACCCTCGCCTTAAGCTCGTGTAAACCGCAGCACTGGCTCGGTTTTTTTGGAAATAATGGTGCTTGGATGCGTCTAGTGGCTTTAATGTTTCATGTTTTCTGTAATTTCAGAAGTCGGTCGGTTACTTCAATACGTTCAATTATGTTGCAGTTTTTACTCTACAGGTACGATTAATAAACTTTGAACCTGAAAATAGCGAAAACTTTGTGCTGCTTTGCCAAACATTTCTGAACCCCTCTCCACGTAGGGGATGCCTTACTAGGAAATATGACATTACGCCCCTTTGACCAGCCACGGGTCGACGCCCTCAGATGCGAGCCAATCCAACCCTGGATTCTTAAAAAAAAAAAAAAAAAAATGCGCTTTTCTAGCTCAAAAAGCTCCAAAAAATCCCCTCCTATAGAAATCTTGATTTTCCGAAGGTTTTAGCTACCACGCTACTTAAATTCGGCAGCCCCTAGTCAACTCTATTTGCGAAATAAAGCAAATGAAACAAAATGGGAAAAAACGGAACGAAATGGAATGCAATAAAATGGCTGTTGTATCCGTTAAATCCCAGAATTCCTGAAAAAAAGTGTACGTCTCTTCGGATTTTTACCAAAAATTTCGAATACAATACGACTGGTGAATAATAAGTAATGGGCCAGAGGGCCACTTTACTGAGAGGACATCATCCTATACGAAGCATTGGAGTCGTCATTGGTGATTAATGACCGGACAACTTGTTTTGTACCTGCATTCCCACTTTATATATACTAGAATGTTCTCCAAACGTATTTCAGCTAAAAGGCCGGTCAGGTATTACATGGGCGGTTTGAACCAGCTTTACGGAGCTTTACAAGGGGAGGGGAGGGGGTCAAGCCTGGCGTTGTGTGACAAATTTGAGCCGGATGGGGGGGGG